AGGAATAAAAGCAGCAAAGGGAGTGTTTGGAATTTCTCCCAATAAAATTATTACTCCATATACTATGGATCAAATTGATGAGTTAGCTAATGAGTTAAATACTTGGGCAATAATCATGTGTAAATCTAATGTTTCATTTGATAATCACCTACCATCTAATCCTTTGTTGTCTTTTTGGTCTTCACATCCTGTAGTTTTTCCAAAATTGACAAGAAAAACACCTATCATGAATGCTCCAAATATATTCACAGATGGGTCAAATAATGGAACAGCAGCAGTAGTTACCTCTGATCAAACTTTTACAGTTTTTAGTACCCAAACAATCAGCTCAAAAGGTAGAGCTTAATGCTTTATTACAAGCTTTTTTGATGTTTAAAGATTCTGTATTTAATTTATTTTCTGATGGTATATAATTAAATCTATAGTATCCCTTGAAGATGCTGGTAGGATTTCCCCTTCYTCTACTGTTTTCTCTTTGTTTTGTTATAGTTAAAGCTTTGTCCCAGGGTTTTATAAACTGACTTCCAGACCACTCATGTATAATCGAATCAAGCCTTTATTGAAGCACACCAGTGATGGCTGACCAGAACATAAAGCTGTTCCCCTGATCAGCCCCGAACAATTGCAAGGGCACTCCTTATAAGCCTGAAAACCGCAAAAGGGATGTTCAGGGGATCTAGCCAATGCAAGCAAGCCAGGTTACAGAAGCGGGACAGTGCATTCAAGCAGAGGGAAGCCTAACTAATCACAGTTAGCCCAGTCACCCCAGCTACAGCAACAGAGCCCCGTTACCCTAGTTACAGAAACAATACCCCATTAGGTAGTTCCATGTTCTTAAAGGTTTCTATAGCAAAAGGAAAAGAACATCTTGCTCCAGACATGATTCTACTACTTGGCATGGTTGTTTTACAGGATGAAGTCATAAAAAAATGGAGTCACATTTGCTCCTACTATCACAGTTTTCCACTATACAAAGTCTAATCTAGGACAGAAAAGATCCATTCTTTATAGGATATATCAGGGCACATATAGGATTGTCTGGAGCCCTTAGTTTGGGCAATAATTTAGCAGATAAATCTACACATGACATATATATTTTCTCCACAATAGAAGAAGCTATACATTTTCATAAAAGGTTCCATGTCAATGCTAATACTTTACAAAAGCATTTTAAAATAATAAGGAACAAGCCAGACATATAATAAAACAATGTCAAAATTGTGKGACCTTTTTACCACAAGTTAATCTTGGAGTTGAAAAGTTAATAAAATAGGTACTTGTTACTCCGTTTCTCTATATGCTTAACAAAACACTGTTGAAATCTTAAGAACTGTTTCCTAATCTTATTCCCAGAATGTGTTGTCCCTAACTGTGGACTGTCTGCTAATCTTGTTCCCAGAATGAGCTGTCCCCAACTGCCAAACTACAAAATATAACTTCTCTCGCTGCCCTCTCCAGGGAAGGTGTATAAGCTCTGCTCAAGCTGTTCTCAGGGCTCTCTCTCTCTTTGCTATAGAGAGCTTGGGCCCCAGCACGCTGGTCTCCAAATAAACCCACCCTTCTGCTGTTGCATAAGACAGTCTCTTGTGGTCTCTTACTCCGACGTTTCGCCGGACCCTTACATTTGGTGAGTTGGCTGGAAACTGTGCATCACCGGACAGGGAGACCTCAACAAGACTCCTTTAGGGGGGTAAGTAAGCGCCTTATCTTCTTCTTCTTCTCCTCCTCCTTCTCCTTCTTGTTTTTCCTTTGTGATCGCTCAGAGTCTGGTTTTGGCTGGAGAACGTGAGCTCTCAGAGCCTTCTGGGTTTTGGCTGAAAAGCGTGAGCTCTCAGAGCCTTCTGGTTTTTAGCTGGAAAGTGTGAGCTCTCAGAGCCTTCTGGTTTTTTGGCTCAGCGGAGAGCGTGAGCTCTCAGAGCCTTCTGGTTTTTTGGTTTGGGTTGGCAGAGTGTGGTTGTCAGCACAGAACGTGAGCTCCCCCTGGCGGTGGTGGATAAATGTGTCCCTGAAGCCATAGACCACATCTCTCAAGGGACGCTTTGAGAGACTCTAGGGGGGACGGAGGTGAACTCTAGGGGGGACTCTAGGGGGGATGGGAACAAGGTGCCTTCATCTGTATTCTGCTGCCAACCCATCTGATCTTGCCGGCAACTATTCTTTYTCTCAGGTTGAATTCACTGTCTGTTTTTAATCTTTGCCTCTGAACTTGTGTTACACATTTACTGTTTACTGTGTGTCCTTGTTTGTGTCACGTTTGTATTGTCCCTGTCTTTGTTCAAGTAACTTTCATTATGGGACAGAGTCATTCCACACCTCTGTCCCTTACCCTTGATCACTGAACTGAAGTCCGCATAAGGGCTCAGAATCTTTCTTTTTCAGTAAAATGCCAGACCTAGCAGACTCTCTGTGCCACAGAATGGTCCACCTTTGAAGTTGGATGGCCTCCAGAAGGATCTTTCTACTCCCCATTGATTCAAAAATTCAAAAATATTGTTTTTGAGCCGGGGCCACATAGCCATCCAGATCAACAGCCGTATATCTTAACTTGGCAGGACCTTTGTGAATCTTCTCCTCCTTGGGTGAATCTTTTCTTGTCCCTGTTCCTGCTCCTACCCCTCCCCCCATGATTCTATCTCTCAAACCTCCTCCTCCACCCTTTGTTCTCCCTGAGTCTCAAGATTTGACTCTGCTGGACTCTCCTCCCTTTCCTTATCCCCTGCCTCCATTCCCCAACCCCCAACACCCTCTNCTCAAACCTCCTCCTCCACCCTTTGTTCTCCCTGAGTCTCAAGATTTGACTCTGCTGGACTCTCCTCCCTTTCCTTATCCCCTGCCTCCATTCCCCAACCCCCAACACCCTCTAAGTGATTCCCCTGCTGCTGACTCAGCTTCTCCACCATTGAAGGAGGTTAAGCCAGCCCAGCACCCTTCAGATGACTTCCCTGAGGCACACATAGCCCCTCCTCCCCTGGAGGAAGCTAACCTGGCTAAAGGAACTCGCCGGCAGGGAATGATTAAAAACCCTGAAGCCCCTGTGATACTTCCCCTCCATCCTCATGGGCCAATGATAGAGGATAGCCATGGTGGAGAAATGCAAATCTACCAGTATTGGCCTTTCTCCTCTTCAGATTTATATAACTGGAAAAATAACAATCCCCCTTTTTCCGAGGACCCCACCCGGCTTACAAGTCTGATCAAGTCATTGATGTTTTCACACCAACCTACTTGGGATGACTGCCAACAACTCTTAGGCACTCTCTTCACGACAGAGGAATGAGAGAGAATCCTCCTGGAAGCAAGAAAAAATATCCTCGGACCAGATGGGCCACCAACACAACTTCCCAACATAATCGAAGCTGACTTCCCCTTGAACCGGCCTAACTGGTACCCCAACACCTTTGAAGGTAGGGAGCATCTGTCCACTTACTGCCGGGCTCTAATAGCGGGTCTCCGAGCAGCCGCTAGACGGCCAACTAATTTGACCAAGGTAAGAGAGATTATTCAAGGGCCTAATGAATCACATTCTATGTTTCTGGAGAGAATTATGGAGGCATATAGGAGATATACTCCTTTTGATCCTCAGGCAGAGAATCAAAAGGCATCTGTCATGATGGCCTTTATTGGGCAAGCTGCCCTGGATATTAAAAGAAAGTTACAAAGCTTAGATGGATTACAAGATATGACTTTGAGAGATTTAGTCAGGGAAGCCGAAAAAATATACTATAAGAGAGAAACTGAGAAAGAGAAGGAACAAAGGAGGGAGAAAGAAAGGGAGCAAAGGGAGAAAGAAAGGGAGCAAAAGGAGGATGAAAGAAGCAAAAGACAGACTGAGGCATTGACTAAGGTCCTGGTCACAATAAATAGGCCAGAATTTAGGAGACAGGGAGACAGAAAGGGAAACCTGGGCCCACGCCAAAAGCCACATCTGGCCTCAGATCAATGTGCCTACTGTAGAGAAAAAAACACTGGGTCAAAGAGTGCCCTAGAAAGAAACAGCCATGCCAACCAGCCATTCTAACTTTGGAGGATGACTAGGAAAGTTGGGGCTCGGATCCCCTCCCCGAGCTCAGGGTAACTTTTGAGGTGGAGGGGACTCCAGTAAACTTTGATAGAGGGGCAGTATACTCAGCCCTTAAGGCCCCATTGGGCCCTCTATCAACTAAAAGGTCTCTAGTTAAAGGGGCTAATGGCAGTAAATATCGGGCTTAAACAACTAAGAGGACCATGGACCTGGGAAAAGGAAAAGTCCATCACTCCTTCCTAGTGATCCCAGAATGCCCAGCCCCATTGATGGGCAAAAATCTGCTCACCAAACTCTGGGCCAAAATAACTTTTAACCCTGAAGGCCCCCAAATGGAATTTCTAAATCCTTCAGTAAAAACTCCTATAGCCATGGCTTTAACTATATCAGTAGAAGATAAACATCAACTCTTCACACCCCCCAAGACTGATCAAACAGGCAAGCTATCCCAGAAATGGATAACACATTACCCAGATGCCTGGGCAGAAACTACTAAATTAGGCCTAGCCGTAAAACAACCTCCAATAATGGTGGAATTAAAAACCTCAGCCTCCCCAATTAATATTAAACAATATCCTCTGAGCAAAGAAGCTAAAGATGGGATAAGGCCCCATATTAAGAAATATCTGGCCTTAGGGGTCCTAAGGCCCTATCAATCGGCCTGGAACACTCCCCTGCTACCAGTAAAAAAGCCAGGAACCAGGGACTATTGCCCCATTCAAGACCTAAGAGAGATCAACAACAGAGTGCAGGACATTCACCCCACAGTACCTAATCTGTACAATCTGCTTAGCACCCTTAACCCCGAGCGAAAATGGTATACTATCCTGGACTTAAAAGATGCTTTCTTTTGCTTGCCTCTGCATAAAGATAGTCAATTGCTGTTTACTTTCGAATGGGTAAACCCAGAAACTGGAACATCTGGTCAACTAACTTGGACCAGACTTCCACAGGGATTCAAGAACTCCCCCACTCTTTTTGATGAAGCCCTCCACAGAGATCTCAATAACTTCAGAACCATGCACCCTGAAGTCACCCTACTCCTATATATGGATGACCTGCTACTGGCAGCAGACACCAAGGAAAACTGTGAGTCTGGGACCCAAGCACTACTATCTGAGCTTGCTCAACTCGGGTATAGAGCTTCTGTCAAAAAGGCCCAAATTTGCCAGCAAGAAATAATCTTCCTGGGCTATTCCCTTAGGGACGGTAAACGATGGCTCACTGAACCCAGGAAACAAACTGTTGTGCAGATACCACCCCCATCTAATAAGAGACAACTCAGAGAGTTTCTTAGGACTGCTGGCTTTTGCAGGTTATGGATATCTGGGTTTACAACCTTAGCAACAGCTTATACCTGTAGTTAAAGGGAAATGCCCAATTCCAATGGAACCCTGAACACCAACAAGCTTTTGATAACATCAAAAGGGCGCTGCTATCTGCTCCGGCCTTAGCACTCCCAAATGTAGAAAAACCCTTTACTCTCTACATTGAGGAAAAGAAAGGAATAGCACATTGAGTGCTTACTCAAACTTTAGGACCTTGGAAAAGGCCTATAGCCTACTTATATAAAAAGCTGGACCCAGTGGCTAGTGGATGGCCCCATTGCCTAAAAGCTATAGCAGCGGCGGCCCTACTAATCAAAGATGCTGATAAGTTAATGCTGGGGAAGAAGCTAACCGTTATAGCCCCCCATGCCCTAGAGAGCATCATCCGCCAGCCACCAGACAGATGGCTATCAAACTCTAGAATAACACACTATCAGAGCCTATTGCTTGACAAGGACAGAATAATATTGGGACCCCCTGCCCCACTTAACCCGGCTACACTACTACCTGAACAATCATCAGAACCCATCACTCATGTCTGTCAACATATACTGGCAGAAGAAACCAGTATACGACTGGATTTAAAGGATCAGCCACTGCCCCACCCTAAGGTCATATGGTTCACTGATGGCAGCAGCTTTCTCCAGGACCGTAAATGGTGGGCTGGGGCAACAATAGTTAGCAGAACTAAAGTCATCTGGTCCTCTAGCCTCCCAGAGGGAACATCAGCTCAAAAGGCAGAGCTGATCGCCCTCACGAAGGCATTAGAGCTAGCAGCAGGCAAAAAGGCCACCATATACACAGATAGCCGCTATGCCTTTGCTACCGCTCATATACATGGGGCTATCTACCAGCAAAGGGGACTATTAACCTCTGCAGGAAAAGAAATAAAGAACAAAGATGAGATCCTCCGCCTCCTCTCAGCAATACAAAGCCCTAAAGAACTAGCTATAGTGCACTGTCCAGGACACCAGAAAGGAAACGATCCCATAGCGGTCGGAAACAGGAGGGCAGATAAAGAAGCTAAATTGGCAGCTCTAAA